AAAGATAAATCATATTTAATCTTCCATGATTATCCTAACAAATTTAGGAGATTCTATCCTAATTACTAGCCAATCAAATAATTTTAAAATCATTTATATACTAATCTAATTATGGGATAATCACATTATTTAAATCAATTATTATCCTTTTGGAATATGCTCAGAATATCCTAGTCAACCGTATCCAAAATTAACCACTTTAATTAGGATAATTACCAATTTAACAACTTTAAATATGAATAATATCAAATATAACAACTTTTGAATATTTGATTTTATCCTATAATAAAAGATTTTATCCAAATAAAACCAACTTTATCTTTTGAAATAAAAGATCATATTTTCAAAATATTCTATCTTATCCAAAATAAAACTGATTTTATTCCAAAATAATTCATAATTATCTTGAAATAATTTTAAAATAAGAATTTTTTTTTTTTGAAAAACCGCAAGCCACCACCGCCGGCCACCGTGGTTGGCTAGCCGAAGCTAGCCACGGTGGCTGGCTGCCATAACAGCAGCCACTGCCGCAAGGCAGCAGCGGGCAGCTGCTCTGGCAGCCGTGGCAGCAGCCGTGCAACGCTTGCACGCTGCTGCCCACAGCCACCCCTGACCGCCTGCCCTCCCCTTCCCTCCCTCTTGGACCACCACCTGGTCGGCAGCTGCCGTGGCTGCGCCACCCAGCCGCGGTTGCCGGCCACTTAAAACAATTTTTTTTGTATTTTAATTTAATTAAAATAACATTTATCATAATTAAATTAAATCAGTTCATAAGATTAAAATTAAATCACATTTAACTTTAAAATTAGGGTTCTTCATAAAATTAATCCCAATTTAATTCTAACTTTTAAAATTAAATTGACGATCATACACAAAACACTTTTATGCATAAATCAATCCGATTAAAATTATGAATCATAAAATAAATTGAATTAAATCAAAATCAAGCACAAAAATCATATTTTAGGACTAGGATTTTCGAAAAATCCGAAATTTAGGGTTAGGGGTTCGAAAATTTCGAACACATTAGGGCTAAATTTCGGTCTCTTCATGGATATTTTGAGCATAATTAAATCACATTTAATCAATTCCAAAAGTTTAATCACATTAAATATAATAATTGAACCATAATTAGATTAATTTCTCCCACTTAATTGATTATAAAATTAACGTGGACATCAAATAATCGTATCATTATGATCTAGCGCGTTCATGCAAGAGGCTAACTGATACCACTGTAGGATTTTATAGGTACTACGCAACGGAAAAACATGAATCATATTCAATCTAGTACCAATCCCAAGAATCACATGCATAACACACAAGACACATAATCATACCTTTGACGTGTGAATTCCACGAAGCTATTCGACAGGCAAATCAGGGAGAGAATAGAGCCCCAAGCGTTGCTCCTCTACTTAGTCCACGAGATTCGAACGAGTCGTCCACCAATACTAGATTGGTCGAGTGATTGAGGAGAACCGCGATCACCACCTTTACGGACAACCGACCACCGCACGAACCACCACCACCGCGCACACCACCGGCGCCTAGGAGGAGGAGAGAGCCTGAGAGAGAAAGGACTTTGAGAGGGTTGGGTTTCGTGTTTGCTAATTAGGGTTTGAACACACTGTCAGTTAATTGCTTCCACTGCTGCAAACCTAGGCACCTAGTCTATTTATAATCTCCATTATAATTAGACTAGGGCACGAAGCCCAAAACTCCTTCTAATCCACTACATGGCCCGCCACCTAGAGTGATGAGGCCCATAACGGGCCTCGTCCTCTAATGCTCGATCTAGCCCCTTTGTGTGACCTTATAGGATCCGTCCAATTGGGTTTTGGCCTATTTTACTAGTCCAAAGATCGTTAGTACCTCTAGCTATGGCAAAACGACGACCCAAATGTACGAACTTAATTATCTCCATAATTTGATCCATTTATATATCTAGTAATTGCACATAACTCCTTCAAGGAGTTGGTGAGATAAAAGTGCCAAAAAAAATTGGGAAATAGTTATCCAGTTCCAACTCTGAAAATGATGTTTTATAGTGATTTAGACCAAATTAAATAGAATTAGAACAAAACGGTAGTCTAGTTTGATTATTCCTTTTTTTTTTTTTTTTTTTTTTTTTTTTTTTTTTTTTTACAAGAGCTAGTTGATTATTTAGCCAACAATGTTGTACCCAAAAACACGAGTATGATTTCTGGATGAGTTTAACTAATGTTATCTTTAATAGTGTGAAACCACTGTCATTTCTATATTTTGTGAGTTAATATTTGTATCACTAAAGTTATGTACTACTAATATATGGGTAATTAATACGAAGTACTTCGTAATATCATTGACACGGAGTATTTCATTCATAATATGCCACGAATGCACTAGATATATTGCGATATCTTGTATGTATAGCCGTATAGGCGAACAATATCTAAAAGACTAAAAATGTGCAATTGTTTCGGTGATGCATATGCAGCAGACAGAAATTGAAAAGTATAACCCACATGCCATATCTCTTACAGGCTATATACAGTAACACAGCATGCCAAAATAAATGCATTCTTAAACACTCAAAACTCAAATTGTATTCCATTGCAAATGGTATAAAGATTTCATTGACTCGCCAATTTTTAAGCGTATTATTGATATTTAATAGTCAAACTAATTTGCAACTTGAACACACCTTTGTCTTTATTTCTGTCAAATTTAGGACTTGAACTTGTCAAAGTTTAACACCTTAAAAACCAGAAATAACTGATAAATCAAATAAACACAATAAAAAAGAAGACGAGGAAAGCAGCTCAAAGTCGTCTATCCAAGTCTTTTCTAGTCTTTATGTTTGATTCTACAGATTCCAGAAGCTTGGACCACTCTTATCATTTGGGTTAAACTTAGATTGAAGTTGAAGGAGATACATTTAGAGTTACTCCAGGCTTCCTAGGTAGTGCTTGACCTCGTCAAACCGACTCACACCCCATTACTTGACCCAAGCTGATACGTGATCGACAATCTGACCTTAATTGGCACATCTTTTACTTATTCATGCCGTCATGCACCAGACGCCCATTTTAGTGCAATCAGAACATAGCCAACACAAACAAAGCTGAGCAACTAAAAGCTTCTGGGTTCTTAACTGCTACTCCGTATTATAGAATGTATGACCAGCTTCTTAATGAACAATCATAAAGGCCTTAAGATAACTGATGTTACTTATGTACAACTTCAGGAAATTAGTTTGACCAAAATTAATGATATGATCATTCTCACCTCCATATAATGCAGTGGTTCAGAATCAATCAAAGTTCCAGCCCATTTCCAGGGCATACAAATAATGCACTTCTAACAACAGGCTGATAATCCTAAAGTAGCCTTCAAAGTTGGCCACAGAATCTGTAAACTTGCCATAATTGGGACAAGCAACAGGTTGATCGAGCTGGGAATCTGATTCAATCAATATTCAATTCAAAATTTACTAGCATGTCTCTATTAACTGTACTCAAATATCCCTAATTCAATGTCAGGTCAGGAGTTGTACAAGGCAAGAGGCAACTCGAATACTACGACTGTCTAGCCTCAAATTAACATGATGGTTACCAATGAGTGCAGGCTGGGATTGTTCTGTAATTTTATGTCTGTAGTATCAGCCCGAAATAGCTGGACTTCACAAAAAAAAAGAGCCTCGAATGGACATAAAAATACAGAACAATCACAGCCTGCATTCATCCCGAGTTTCAATTTCGCAAAGTCCAGCGACTTCAGGCTCACTTTCCCATGAATGCTATGAAATCATAAGCTCAAAAATAAAGGCAAATTGATTGAAAGAATCACAGGAAAAGGATGGGGACAATGAACACTCATGAGAAATTATTGAGTGCAACTTTCTATCCATTGGTAACCACCAGCAAAAAAAAAAGGAGTGTCATTTTCCAACCAAATTGATGTCTCATGACCACACTTTACAGTCACATACAAAGTTCATACATCACAAGAGGCCTTAACTTCTAACCTAGATGTTAGTTCAACTACCCTTTCTTCTCCTAACAGTTCATCAAATAACCCCCCTTGCTAATATGTAAGTTTAATCTAGAGTAACCACCGTCCAACAATGCACATAATCTATTAATCTTGGACAATGATATATCGATCCCAAGGACAGGAACTTGTCGATGTATTGGCATGCTGGATAAAAAAAGTTTGTACAAGATCAATCCTCCCTCTCATGGATAAAGAACTCTGTGATAGAGACAATAATTCCTGTGAAACTTCCTATTTAAAGCAAACAATAATAGCTTTCTTCAAAGAGGCAATCAATCAAAGATGTAATCCACTTTGTGGAAAAATAAATTAATGTGCAAGTCCAAAAAAGTGCTGTAAAAAATAATTGAATCAATCCAATAAAAAAACTCAGGAGAAGTAAGAACAGGTGAAAACCAATTACTACCTAACTACTTATTTAAGTGTAGAAGTCAAGAAAACACAAGATATTAAGTAAACTTCTTTCCAAATTTAGTTGAAAAAGGGTAGATTATCTGGACAAGAAACAACCAGATGCGTCTGAAAGGCGAATAGAATGCACTGACATAATATTAATTTATGCACGACAGTCAATTATCCCAAACCAATGGTACTCTAATTCCAGTACTCATGCCAAACATAAGTATGTGTTGCCACTCTGATACTCTGCTATGATGTATTTCCAATTTTTAGGTCCAAAAAAAGTTTCATGCATCTACACTACTATACACACGAAGACCCGACACTACTCGAGGTGAAATGGTGGGTCAGAACAAGTGCTGAAAAACATTAGTCTCAAACACAAATGCAAAGCTACACAGCTGCACTATCAAAACAGAGAAACTGTACGCGTAAAGGTCAGCATCAACTACTCTCAGTGGAAGCAGCAAACAACTGCTAAGATTATACAGCTATTAAACACATATCAAACGGAATCCATCAGCAGAAAATTAAACATCATTTTATGCAGATGTTTATGCAGATTTTAATCAGATGACAGTGCCAAATGCACCTTAGCACTTTAGCAAATATAAATGGCAGCCGATGAGGCCAAAGTAGTACATAAGTAAGACTGAACAATGTGAACATATATCTAAAGTAAATATCGAAAACACATCTCCTAAATAAATGTAGCAATTTCGAATTCTGCACATTCACAACATTCAACTGGAATGAACAACTTCTTGAAACTACAGATAGATAAATAAACAAGCAGAAAGCATGTAATGTATCATATATAAATACCATAAAAAAGGATGAAATGAAATAATTAAACTTCCTTTCTGTGAATTGCTTTGCTGCTTGAATTGTTCATTGATTACCATTGGTATTACTGCTACCAGTTGACCACCTTCTCAAAGCACAGGCTGCTATATTTCTACCAAACAAGAAGCTTAACTTCGTCCTGAACAAAGACCCGCGGCCATTGCTCCTAGGAGGAGCCTGAACAGATGTTACATCTGTGTCCACTGCTGGAAAATCGGCGCCATCTTCCTGAGCTCCTCCCGCTTCACTTGCACTAGCATCAACAGCCTCGATCTCATCAGCATCCAAATTAACAATCAATGCCTCCCTTTTCTCCCTTAACCACTCAACAACATCTCGAGTCACATCCCTACACTTCTTAACCTTAATCTTCACCAAGTTGGGGCACCCCCAAGCCAATGCCTCCAACCCATTATCCGAAATGGGGCAACTCTTGATGCAAAACTTCTTCAATGCCGAGCATTTTGTAGCAATGCACACCATCTCCGCATCGCCAATAGTCTCACTACTACAAAGCGCCAACCTCTCCAAATTCCGACAATTAGAAGCAATCACCTCCAAACTCGTGTTCGTGGGATTAATGCCAATCAACACCAGTTCTTGCAAATTAACACAATTCTTCCCTAACACAATCAAACCCTCATCACCAATCTTGTTAGTCCTCCACCCATCAATGTGAACCTTCCTCAGCAACTTACACCGCTCCGCCACCGATATAATCCCTATATTAGTACACTCAGGTGTCTTAACAAGATGCAGAATCTCCAAACTAGCACAATTAGACAGAGCAGATAGCCCAAAATCAGTAACCTGTATCCTCTCAAGATGAATTTCAACTAACCCATTAAAATTACTATTATCACTACTATTATTACTATAATTGTAATTGTAATTAGATTTATCAGTAGCCATCATTTCCAAAACCCTATCCCATTCCCCCAAACACCGAATCAATTTCAAAGTCTTGAGATTTTTAGACCCAACAATCAAAGGCCCAAACAACTGCCCATTATAAAGCTCCTTCAGACAAATACTCTTCAAAGACTTCGCCGCCAGGCCCGGCCCGATGGGCTCGGCGGCAGCCTCTGAATCACCATCGTTGTTAATCCCACGAAGCCGCTTAATCGAAATCTCTTCCAGCAAAACGCAGTGCTCAAGAACAGCGTTTAACCCTTTAGCACCAAAAACGCAGGACCCACAAGAGAGCTTTTTAAGGGACTTACAGTTCTGCGCAAAAGCAGCGATTCCGAGGTCGGTGAGCTCGCGGCAACCCCGGAGTTTCAGGCGGGTCAAGTTCCGGCACCGGAGAGAGATTAGCACAAGGGCGTCGTCGCTAATACTGATGGATCGACGGTCGCATCGAAGAGCGAGCTTCGTAACCGAGTCAAATCGGGAGAAAAGCGACGGCAAGTGAGCCGAGATATCCTTGTTAGCGTTGAGAGAAAGACGGCAACGACTTTGACCTTCAACGAGGAACCACCGTTTACAGACAAGGGAGCACCGTTTACGGTCACCGGAGGACAGAGAGAGGAAGATGTGGGCCAGACATTCGTCGGGGATTTCTGATGTTGGGTCAGGGAAGATGGGGCCAGGCCCAGGCCCAAGATTAGGCCCATCTTCGGATTTGACAACTGGGACGTGGGTTACCGGAGGAGGTGGCGGAGGATGCGGCGGAGAAGGTGGGTGAGAGGTGGTGGTTTTTGACATGGGTGTTGTTGATTTTTTACGGGAAGAAGAGGTGAAGCGAGTTGTAAAGGAGAAGGAACGAGAAGGATGGCGAGTCAACTCGGGTGAGTTAGTTGGAACGGATGGTGATTGGCCCATCCAGAGTGGCGGTTGAGGGTCACGCGCCGTCGCAGAAGGTGGTGGTGGTGAAATGAAGATGGGATAGGGAGGAGAGAGAGGGAGTTATCATGAGAAGAAGAGCCGTTGGCATTTCTCCGGAAGATGTGTAGTAGTGGTTATTATCATACACATTTGTTTTAAATATATTTTTTTAAAAAAAAATTCTTTTTACTCCGAAGAATTTTTGATTTGTTGTTTTTTTTTAGGATGGAAGTGGGAAAATAAAAAGGGAAAATAAATAATGGATTATGAGGAGGAGAGAGAAAGAAATGGGTCAAGGCTCAAGAAGAAAAAGCCTAGATTGGCCAATCAAAGTTTAAAGTTCAAAGGTCTTAAAAAAGAAGATACTATTAAGTAAAAGCAAAAACAAAATTACAAAGTTTTCTCTTTTTTAATTGATTAGTGTACAAGTATGATTTATTTTATTTCTTGAAATGAATACTTAAATACAGTATTTTGAATAAAAATACGAACATTTTATATACATATAAATCTCACAATAATACCCTTTCGATGCAATTTATTCAAAATAGAGGTATTTATCAGCATATCAGGTGTAAAAAATAAAACATTTATCATAGATAATAGTCGACAAAATAGAACTTTATCTCCTTAAGTTATGTTCTCTTCACCTTTTAGAACCTGAACTTATTTTGATGTTATTAGTTCTTATTATAGTTTATAGTTTTATGCCACCGAATATGAAAAATAAGCGTTGTACAAAGTTTAAACAAAATTATAGGGTCGAACCAAATAGGGAATTTTATGGTATAAAGTACTCCATATATATAGCAGAATATATGAAGTAGTATAAAATACATGTATAAAAAAACTTATACTCTCGTAGTATAAAATACATGTATAATAGTACATAAAAAGTACCACTGTAACCATAGAAAATTATAAATTATTATTCAGTGTTATGTTAATTTATTAATTAGTCCACCTATATGCATCTCAAATAATATAGCAGATATTCGTCTATTTGCACTCCAAATATTATGAAATGAAGGGAGTAATTTTTATTACACCTCTCCTTACTCATACATAGGAGTCACAGTCCTCAATCTACATTTCTTTCATTACCGGATTCAACCTCTACCTTTTAAAATTTTGAAATAACACTGATGAATAGAGCTTGGATAAATGTACCTTAAAAAATATTTAGTTACTTATTTGTTCTTATTAATATTAATTAATGACTTTTTTTTTTTTTTTTTTTTTACTTTTAAGATTAGTGTGCGAACATTAATATCTGTTTACATTTTTTTTTTCCCCTAGCTGTTACACTTATCCAATTTGCAGCGTAAGATAATCTTGGTTATCAAGGGGAAAAAATGAAAACTAAAGGGGTTGTTTGACATCATTTTTGGTTTTCAATTTCTTGTTTTTTTAAAAACTAAAAACCTAAAACAGGAAACAAAAAAAAGGTGTTTCCACTTTTTTGTTGTCAGTTTTCATAATAAGTTTAAATAATTTTTGATTTATTATGTGACATATATCATATACTTTTATACTACAAAAAACCAAAAAACAGAAAAGCACAGCAATGTCAAACGAAACCTTTATTTATTTTCTTTTATTATATTGACTTTTAAAAAATTCCAAGTGCACAAGTTTATCTATTTATATACTCTATATAAGATTATCTCTTTATTATATTGACTTTTAAAAACCATTAAAGATTTGAAGTGTTGTATTAAAAGTGGTTTATCTATTTATATACTCTATATAAGATTATCTCTTTTCAAATTTATTTTTTTTCTGTCATAGCTCATTTTTATTTCTTAGACAAACATTGCTGGTAAGTTATTTTATCAATTTAATTCAATCAAAATGGTGTTATTTATTTATTTATTTATTTATTTTTTAACGATCTAAAAGGGTGGACGTAAACAAAATGAAACGGAAGGAGCGTGTATTTTTTAATTAGGGGAGGGATCCGGTGAGAATAGGTTCTTATGTGAGAATATTCCTAATATATGAGAACAAATCTAAGCCTTAGGATCTCTCAACGGCTCTAATAAAACCAAACTTTTCATCAATATACTTGTTAATCAGAAAAACAGAGTGAAGAAACTACGAGCTTCAATTTCAATGAGATTCAAGGATTTCGAACACAGTTCCGTTCGATTTTTGTCAGATTTCAGCAATAGCAAGAATCAACAAGCTTCATAGATTATTCAGGTAAATATTCAACAAAAGTTCTGTTAGTTTTTTCCTTAATTTTTGTAAGTAATTTTCGAATTTCATGGTTTGAATGTTGGATTTTTGTTATAATTTTAGTAATGAATGATCTTAATTTAGTATTTTCGTTAAAATTTACAAATTTGATGTTCTAATTTTCGATTTTAGTGTTCTGGAAAATTTTAGTGTTCTTATGCGATTTTTCGAGTTTTTGCTTCAATTTTTTGCTGCGATTTTGTTTGATTATGTTTGCTGCGATTTTGTTCGATTTACTATATGATTTTGTTTGATTATGTTTGCTACAATTTTAATTCTTATGATTTTGTTTGCTGCGATTTTGTTCGATTTTTTATTATGTTTGCTGCGATTTTGTTCGATTTTCGATTTTAATTCTTAGTATTTTTGCAGGTTCATTATATTAGGTTGACAATTATGGATGAACAAGCAAATAATGAAGCAGTTTTTTTTTTTTTTTTTTATTAACTTGGATGTTTTTATGTACAACATGTTGCAAAATCGCAGAACATGGTTGAAAATTTTAGAACATGTGTGTATAAAATTAGAACATGTTGGTAGGAAAGCAACGGAAAGTAATAAATGAGAATGTTGATGAGTGAAATTTGATAAATAATTTAGAACAAATGAGTAAAATTTTGGAACATGTTTTGATTTTTCTAATGGGATGTCTAAAATCATGTGTTCTAAATATTTGATCATGTGTTCTAAAGTTTTAGTCTAATGTTCCAAATTATGCTATAAATAATTAATTAAACTTTAGTCTTAAATCTATGCTCTAAATAATGTCTTATGTTCTGATTTAATCATGTGTTCTAAATATTAAATCATATGTTCTAAATTTTTTTTAACTTGTTAAAATTACTTTTGTGCAGAAATAATTAACAACAACGAACAACTTGATAATGTTTCTAATGCCAATGCAAGTGTGCCAACTACTCCTACAGTAGTACCTATTTTAACTCCCGGAAGAACAAAAAAATGGTTTCCAATGTGCCGCAATGAGTTAAAACCTGCAATAGGAATGAAATTTAATAGTGTTGATGAGGGTGTTGAATTTTATAAATCATATGCACTTGCTGCTGGTTTTAACACTAGGAAGTCTACCAGTAAAAGGCATACAGAGAAAAAATTGGCATTCCAATATGTCTTATGCAACAAACAGGGTTTCAAGGAGAAGAAAAAGCCTATTGTTGAGAGTATTCTAAATGATAAAGAAGGACAAAGCAAGGAAGGCAAGATTTCAATAACAAGAAAAAGATTAGTCACTCGTGTTGGGTGCAAAGCTTTTATGGTTCTAAAACATTGTGAAGATGAAAAGTATATAGTAACACAGTCCCACGAAGGACATACTCATCCCCTCTACACACCAAGTTGTAATCTATTTCAAAAAGAAGGAAGAAAGATGAACATTTTGCACAAAAAAATGATTGTTGATAACTCTAAGGTAACTCTTTCATAAATTTTTACAGTGCGTTCTAAAATTTTACTCATATGTGCTAAAATATTATTCACATGTTCCAAAAGTTTATTAATATGTTCTAAAACTTTTTTGTGCCTATAATAGGTGAATATTGGCCCTGTAAAAACTTTTCGAATGATGAAGGAAATACTTGGAGGTTATGATAATGTTGGAGCTTCCAAGCAAGATTTTAAAATTTTCACAGAGATTTAAAAACATTCATTCAAGGTTCCGATGCTCAAATGTTTGTAGACAATTTCACAAAGAAAAAGTTGATGTGGAGTGATTTTTTTTTTTTTTATTTTGAAGTTGATGATGATTCTTGTCTTTCTAGAGCTCTTTGGGCGGATCCTATTTGTAAAAAAAATTATGCTCTCTTCGGCGATATGATATCTTTTGACACCACTTACCAAACTAACAGGTGATTCATATAATTCATGCGTCTTATTTTCTGAATTATGTTTTGAATGTTCTAAAAATTGCTTCTACTGTTCTAAATTTTAAGTCTAATGTTCTAAATTATGTTTTATATGCTCATAAGATTTAGCAACTAACTTTTCATTCAAATGTTTTAATAGTAATTCTTATGTTCCAATTACAATTAAGTAAAATATTAATCTTGTGTTCTAAAATTTTAATCATACGTTCTAAATTTTTATTCACATGTTCTAAAATTTTCTTTTTATGTTATAAAGTTTAAATCTAATGCTCTAACTTATGTGTTATAAACTCATAACCTTTATGCTCTAAATTATAACCTTTATGTGTTATAAACTTTAGTCTTAAATCTATGCTCTAAATAATTTCTTCTGTTCTGATTTAATCATGTGTTCTAAATATTTAATCACAAGTTCTAAATTTTTATTCATATGTTCTAAATTTTTATTCACATGTTCTAAAACGGTAGTGCTATATTTTGTATGTAAATTATAACCTTTATGTGTTATAAAATTTAGTCTTAAATCTATGCTCTAAATAATTTCTTCTGTTCTGATTTAATCATGTGTTCTAAATATTTAATCACGGGTTCTAAATTTTTATTCATATGCTCTAAATTTTTATTCACATGTTCTAAAACGGTAGTGCTATATTTTGTATGTAATGAAATTTGATCTTCATGTTATAAACAGGTACAACATGGTATTTACTCCATTTACAGGGGTTGATCATCACAAGAGTTGTATCACTTTTGCGGCTGGTTTCATAGCAAAGGAAGATATTGAATCATTTGAGTGGCTTTTCAAAACATTTCTTAAGGCAATGGGCAATAATGAACCTAATTGTCTTATCACAAATCAAGATCCAGCTATCAAAATTGTTGTTAATAGAGTGTTTCAAAAATCTGAACATCGGTTCTGTATGTGGCATATAATGAAAAAGTTGCCAAATAAAGTAGGGCGAGCGATCACAAAGGAGGAAACAGGATTCCTGAAAAAAAATATGTGCCTGTGTTTGGCATCTTGAAATTGAGCCAGCTGAGTTTGAAGAAAGGTGGAATAAGGTGATGGTTGAGTTTGAATTGGAAGGTAATGAGTGGTTGTGTTATATGTACGAGATAAGGGATAAGTGGATTCCGGCATATTTCAGAGATGTGTTCCTGGGAGGAATAATGCGTACCACGTCAAGATCAGAAAGTGAAAATAACTTTTTTTGCTCTTTTATCAATCCTCACGTTTCACTTGTTGAGTTTTACATGAGATATGAAGCTGCAATTGATGCCCAGAGACACGCTCAAGGTCAAAACGACAATGATTCAAAGCACAAATACCTAGAGTGCAAGACACCACTAGGGATAGAAAAGTATGCCTCAACCATATACATTATTTCTGTTTTTTATGACTTCCAATATGAGGTAGAAATGGCTTGTTTTTCTTGTGGGTGTGAAGAGTTTAAGAGAGAAAATGGATTAGAAATTGCAAAAGTAAGTGAAGGGGGTCGGAGTAGAACATTTGATGTTGTGTTTAAACCGACTAACCAAGAGACAACATGTTCTTGCAAGTTGTTTTATAGGCAAGGCATTCCATGCAGGCACATGGTTTGGGTTTGGAAAGCAAAACGGTTTGAAATTATTCCTGAGCAATATATTCTAAACAGATGGACTACTATGGCAATGAAAAGACCAATATTTGACCTGGGAGGAAATCTGTTGGAACAATGTGCCAATATAATCGACAAGAAAAAATTGTTGAATGAGTTGTGGTCAGAGATACATAATTGTGTTAGTTTGGCAGAGGGGACGATGAAGATATTAAAGACCTTGTGATTAATCTTCGAGGATTGAGGTTGGATTTGGAAGCTAAAAGAAATGCAAGAAGTAATGGTGAAAGGAATGCTACTAACAAAGAAAAAGACATAGAACTATTAATTGGAGCTAGTGTTCCAAGTGAAATATCTATCAAACCTCCAAAAATTTCTAAGAACAAAGGTACAGGAGTTCATATGTCAAATGTTGAAACGAGATCTGTAGAGACTTCAAATGTTGAAACAAGATCTGTAGAGACTTCAAATGTTGAAACAAGATCTGGAAGTGGGAAAAGACTAAAGGGGGACAAAGAAATGGCGGTAGAACAAAATCAGAAAAAAAAAAGAGGTTATGCAAAGGTTGTGGGGAATTGAGTCACCACGATATTCGAAATTGTCCAAAAAAAGTTAGATGATACTTAATAATTTTGGAACATTTTTTTTGAATTTGTGTATTGAATAACACTTTTTTCTATTGTAGAAATGATTACAGTTTAGAACTTATGAGTTTAATTTAGAACATATGTATTAAAATTTAGAACATATGTATTAAAATTTAGAACATATGTATTAAAATTTAGAACATATGACTAAAATTTTAGAATATATGAGTTATAATTAGTAATCATGTGTGGTGTATGGTTCCAATGCGATTTCAAAATTTTGATTTAGACCATATGATAAAAATTAATCACTTAAATTCTTAGTTCTTAAATACATGAGTAATATTTTGACAATAGTATTTAGAGCATATGATTAAAACTTTAGAACATATGACTAAAAATTTAGAACATATGAATAAAAATTTAGTATATATGAATTATAATTAGTATTTAGAGCATATGACTAAATGTTTAGAACATATCATTAAAAATTTAGAACATATGAGTTATAATTAGTATTTTGATCACAAGAAAGACAAGTCAAGCTTATATATTCGAATACAACCTTTTAGAAAAATAGTTTGCGAGTGAAGGCTTACAATTTAAAGTACTATACACAATTCTACATGCTATTTCTAAAATTATATTACAAACTATTTTCTTTAGCCCATTTCCGTGATCTTGAAGTTATCTCATGATGTAGCTCATTTTCCTTGTGTGATAATATCTTAGCACAAAAATCCACCCTTAATTTCTTCATTTGATTGATCTGCAATATAATAAGATAAAATCATTAGAATTTGGTATCCGCTATCTCACTTTTTACATCATTAAAAAAAAAAAAAAGATTTACACAATTTGGAACATATGTATGAAATTTTAGAACATATTTATAAAAATTTAGAACATATGTATAAAAATTTAGAACATATGAACATGAGTAATACTATAAAACAAACTTACATCATTCAATTTTATTCCGCTTTCCCAATTGGTATCTTTCTCACCATGATAGGTTTCCATGTGTTTAAGCAAAAATACGCCGCAATCATCATTGTTATCATTTGTCCTCCAACTCATTTTTAACGTCCTAGTTTTGAAACTAGAAACCTCTTGATCGCATTTTGATCTCTTGGTTGACAAGAACATGGAAAAAGCCCTCAACTAAAATTAAACATTAAAATAAGTATTAGAAAATATTAAGAATGTATAAGTACTATTTGGAACGTGAAATTTTTTAAAAACATCTGATTTAGAACATATGAGTATAATTTTAGTACATCTGAGCTAAACTTTAGAACATTGAAATAAATGTTTAGAAAATCTAATTCTAAGTACAAGTAAATGAGACAGATAGATATTACCAAATTCTTCGGTTTGTTTTTGAATTTGTGCCAAAAAGAATTTTTATATTCCAAATATCTGTTGTCAATGACGTCGAGAGTCTTGCTGAGAAAATTCACACAAAGCAGGTAATAATGTGATGAAGATACAACTGGAAAAAAATACCTGCATATAATAATAGATCATGAAATCAAAATAAGAAAAAAAGAAGAAAGCTTATAAAGAAGAAAATCTATATTCAAATTCTTTTGGATTTCTTAATGTCTTACCAAGTGAACTCTATCAAAGTTTTGCACTTTAGAGTGCTTCATCTCTTTTTTCAACCTTTCAAATAAAGTATGATATCTATCTTGAATTTTCACAGTTGGAGAAAAGTGATAATTCGTACACAAAATTTCCTGAAATCATGTAAGCATAAGTTATGAAATCTCAATTTATAAAATGAAAGAAGCCAAGTTCAATATTAAGAATCATACATAAGCTTGCGTTGAAAAAAACAATCTGTTTGTTGACCCTAGGGTTCGTCTTCTGTTTTCAATGTTCAATATGAATGACCAAGCATCAACAATGTTATTAAACGCATGATTGTTCGCTGCAAGGCTTGACATCTCATCTCTACGGATTGTAGTTTGACCATCATCATATAACATCTCACTACAAACATAAAAACGAATAGCATTAAATGTTATAATATAAGATTAAACTTTAGAACATATAAATACTAAGTTAGAACATATGAATACTAATTTAGAACATATGAATACTAATTTAGAACATATGAATACTAATTTAGAACATATGAATACTAATTTAGAACATGTGGACACTAATTTAGAACATGTGAATACTAATTTAGAACATATGAACACTAAGTTAGAACATGTGAACACTAAGTTAGAGCATATGAACACTAATTTAGAACATATGAATACTAATTTAGAACATATGAATATTAGAACATATGAATACTAATTTAGAACATATGAATACTAATTTAGAACATATGAATACTAATTTAGAACATAAGAATACTAATTTAGAACATATGAATACTAATTTAGAACATATGATTAATAAATCAGAATACATGACTAGTTATTTTAAAATTACTAAGTAAATTTAGAGCTTACTTAGGTAATCCATTGGCAAATGCATACTCTGCCATTCTCTTCTTGTGTCCATCAACCTTTTTGAATATGTTGTCATACTGAACCATAAAAGGCGAAGAATACAGTTTGGAAGGTTTTCGGGACATCTTTTCTCCCTTTTTCCTACATTTCCTTTCCTGTAAATATATAGGTGAACGAATACAAATATTTAACGAGCAGAATATTTCAAAAAAATATACCACAAATTCTAAAATTATAAATGTATATATATAATTAGTGTCCCAAAACAAACAAACTAATAATTAGTGTTCTTAAAAAATAAAATATTAATTCATCAATAATTAATAGTGTCCCTAAACATAACTACATTACCCCTCCATCTTATCATCTTCTTTCTCATCATTGTTCTTGTTCTTCTCTTCATTTGCTTGAATATTGTTCTTCTCTCCATGAACATATTGTTGGACTTTAGCACCGGAGCATGCTCCTCCTAAAATTGAAGTGGAAAACCCTTGAGTTTGAGGAGGAGGAGGAGGAGGAGGAATCCCTTGAGTTTGAGAAGAAGGAGGAGGAGGTAAAGGAGGAGAAGGTCCTTAAGTTTGAGGATGAGGAATAGGAGGATAAGGTTCTTGAAATTGAGGAGGAGGAGGACGAGGAGGAGGAGGGGAAGAAGGCTCATGAGTTTGAGGAGGAGGACGAAGAGGGGAAGAAGGCTCATGAGTTTGAGGAGGAGGAGTAGGTGTTTGAGAATGAGAAAACAAATCAAAACTCGGAGGAGTCATCTCTAAAGGTGTCTTTTTCTTCCCTTTGAACTTTTCCCATGATCTTTTCATAACATCATCTAACTCCTTAATGAAAGCTGGTTCGTCAAACAAATGTTTATCTTGACTTAGAATGGAGGGGTTGTCCTTTTGTTTTTCTTCCCTTCTCATGGAATACTTATTCCAAATATTCTGAATAAAAGTGTTCATATCAGATGCTTCTTCTTTAGCGAATATTTCATTCGCCTTATCCAAATGGCATGCATCTCACTTAAATTCTCAGCAAGCTTCTTAGCCAATGTTCCGAATTTTTGAAGGAATTCCTAACAAACAAAAGTTATATAAATTTAGAACAATTGAATAACCATGTAAAACAACTGATTTAAGTTTAGAACATCCACTTTATATATTTAGAACATATGACTAAATATTTAGAACATGTGGGTATATATTTAGAACATATAACTAACTATAATAAGACTTTAGTTTAAAACCTGTTCCAAAAAATATGCATACCAGCATTTCATTAGAACCACTAACATCACTTCCACCAAGTTCGGGATCTCCAGCCACTTGTGATATATTGTTATCATGCCTATCAACTTCCATTCTATCAAGTACATGTCCCTTTCCAAATCCTCTTTTCATTTCCAATTTCATCCGTTCCTTGATCAAATCTTTCTTCCAAATAGAAAGGAGTGGGAATTGCCTTGGATTGCTTATTTTAGATCTTTGCAAACGATCAAAATAGCATATCTAATACAAATATACAAAAAAAAAAATGCGTTAAACAAGGACAAATTTAGAAAAAGACAAATTAATATAAAAATGTACCATATATTAAAAAAAGAAAAAAAGAAATTACCATCAAGAAAGGCAATGGACCGGTGAAGAAAGCTGAACCACCTTGCCATTCCGATACAGACGACTTTAAACTCATATAAACATATTCACACCAATCCAAACATTCGATCTTCTTTGTATCCATGCAACTATACAAGAACTTGTAATTTAATGATGGGTTGGCAGTGGATCTCATACAACAATTGACAACAGAAACTACAAAATGCCAAATGAATTCATCACACACAGGTTGCTTCTTTAACTCTTTAATTCGATTAATAATCACAGAGTTTGATGGACTTCCACAACTTAACCCAAAATAAGATCTCCATTGTCTAATAAAATCAACCCATTCTTCATCCTCCTCTTGCTGCTGCTCTTTAATAATTTCTCCTCCCATCGGCAATCCATAAACCAAATGTATGTCTACAGGTGTAATTTCAATCTCTTGGTTCCTCTCAAGAACTAAAGACACCCTATCACAGTCAAAACTCGACACAAGCTTAGAGCAAAATACAGATTTATGTGCATTTAAATCCAAATCTAAGAAACCTCCAAAGCCAATTTTTCTAATAGCCGCCTTATGAGATTTTGGCAAATCTTTAAGCACAGTGTTCATAAAATTCTTGGGAGTAATTCGTTGACTTAATGCTCTACATTCCATTTGATCTGCATGAACAACTTCAATATCATCATCAGAATCACTCTCATCAACCTTTCTTTTCCTTTTTTTCCCTCTGCCTTCCTTCTTTGGTTCTTTCTTCATTGCTTTGTTTTTTGGAACTTCTTTAGCTCTAACTTTAAGTTTCCCCTTAATTTGATCACCTTCTTTATTATCTACATTGGTACTCTTGTTTGCATTTCCAGAAGATGTTGTAGTAAACTGATTAGAGGTTGTAGCACCATCAACACCAACAAGATTATCACTGCAAGTC